GAGACTTGATGAAATTTTGGATCCAAAACACGTTCTGAAAACCTCTGATTAGTTGCTGCTCTAGATTACCTTCCAAATCTGAATTCAGTTCATTTTTTGTTCCAACAGCAAAAGTTTTGCATATCCTGAGCTTTGTTAACCAAGGAAGCTCATGAAAGAGCCACGCTGCGGTCACAGGACAAATCTGCTGCTGTTTTTCCACAGATGCAGTATCTGAGCTCCCTTTATATGTTCACCACCAAGTCTACAGATGAACAAGTAGGTCATGGTATGTAGTCACCTTAAATAAATCCAGTGCTTATCACATTGATTACCTCAGAAGCTAAAGAAGCAGTACTGCATGCCAGCACAGTGAGGTCTGGAGCTTTGCTGGCTCCATATTCTGGAAGCTCTGGAAAATCCCAGACCTGAACGCAGCTCTGGCAGCCTCAGCTCTGCGGAGGTGAGGAGAGCCCGCAGGGATTTTTATGGCTGCTTAGGAAACTTTCTGGAAGGAAAAGGCTGTCTGCCCTAAAGTCCAACCCCGCTCTGAGCAGGGCAGTTAGAGACAGCTGCACAGGGCCATGTCCAGTTGGATTTTGTGTATCTGCAGGGATGGAGACTGCACAACCTCTCTGGGCAACCTGCTGCACAGTTCAGCCACACTCACAGTGAAGTTCTTTATTCTGTAATTTCTCGGTTGTGCCTATCACCTCTATTTCTTTCACTGAGAAACACCGAGAGGAGTCTGGCTCTATCACATTTACCCTCCCTGGCTCCATCAGGAATTTGTGCACAAGAACCCCTCAAATCTTCTCCAGACGGACCCACTCCATCTCTCCCAGCCTCTCCTTGCAGTGACAGCTCCTACTGGTGAAGAGCTTTGGGCTTCACTACCCACCCGACAGCCTCATCTCTCACTGCATCGAAGATGTGAAGCCCCTTAGACAATCTTTTCAGATAATAAATGCAGGAATTTAGCCTATGCTATGAGAACACTGACTTTGCAGAGACACCTGGACTGCTATTAGCAGAACCACTTCAAAAGAAATAAAAGAGAAGTTCATAGATGTTCTTGGAAGTTCATTTGTTTTCATGTGCAGGTCCCACAGGCTGTACAAAGCTAGATTAGAGGCTTGGCTTTTCCTGCAGTAAATATAGATGACTGAAAATGTGTTGTAAGCCAGAAATGGCTCTGAAGATCAAATAGGCAATAATATTTTAGAGACTTAAGATGAGGAACCTGAGCAAGATTTTATAACGACAAAAGATAAACCCAAACTCCATTGTCAGACACCTAGCCCACAAGTTTATAATAGGTATTGCGCAAACAGCTGATAAGATCCGATCTCAAAATACTTCTGAGATAACAAAAGTTAGACTTTGAGGCTACAGAATATCCTGGAAACAAGTTGGAAGGAAATGCAGATCCACAACAATTTTGTTTTTCAATTATTGTTTGGATTGCCAGTTATTTCTATTGTACAGACAAACAGGTATCTGCTTGCTCCTGTTGTACAACAGTTCTGTCAAGGTGCTGTTCTTCATGAGTCTTGGAGGCTTTAATCAGCAAAAGAATTCACTTTCACCAGGTCTTAGTAAATCCCTTAGAGAAAATCTTTCAGAATACAACTGATATTTTAGCTTAGTTGCTATATTGGACTAACATCCAAATGGCATCAATAACAGTGTTTTAATTTTTTTTTTTTAAATTATATACTTTTATCTTCAGTCTCCTATTTTCTCCTGTAAACTAACAGAAAAAAGGGAAACAAAAATCATGGTGAGCAGAGGACACAGCCCTCCACTGACCCAAACCAGCTGCTTTGCGACTTCGCAGAGCACCCTTATTCTGCTACTGTCTGTGGTCTGTTATTTGCTACTTAAAAAGGAGTCCCAAAATACCTTGTTTAAACTTCGCTGCGTTTCAAAACCTTGATAACTCCTGGAATTTCCATTTAAGTTTCAAGGAGCAGTGCTTGGATAAAGTTTTGACAGATGCATATTCCATTTCCTTTCTAGTACAAATCAAGCACCTACTGCTGGACCTACTAAAAAGAGATACTCTTCTTCCAGCAAAAGCTCTGTACTATTGGATCAAATTAACTTCATGCAAATAAGATACAAACACCTACGTTAATCTTTCAGATTAAAGTAGAACATTTTCCCACCACTGATTTTTGTAATCGGAGAGGAATGGGGAAGTAGTTACTAATACCTTGGCCTCTACAATTTGTCATAGGAATAGCTATTAATGTATAAGTTTTATCTTGTGTGTGCGTATGTAACAACAACCAGTACCCAGTAACAGGTGAAACTGATGACAGGTAAAAGGAACTGCAGGACAGGATGAGGGAGGGGTCACCAAAAGGGGAGTTTTTTTAACTTCGTTCCTTCCCAGCAACTTTACCAATGTTTCCTGCACAACTTGGACTTTCCCCAGAGCAAACTATTTCCTTGCTCTAAGACCCAGCAGGTGTTTTACAACATGAAAAACATACTTAACATTTTACTGTTGTAACAGAAACTAAGATGCACTAGAAAGCTCTACCGAGTTTGTGTTAGGATCAGCAGGAAGGCAGGAGGATGGTGGAAAACGTCAGCAGTTTTCCCCAATGTTGGAACACTTTATAAAGATTTGGCTGGACAGTGTGCTGGGCCATCTTGTCTAGAAAGTGCTTTTGCCAAGAAAGGTTGGACCAGATGATCCTTGAGGTCCCTTCCAACCTGGGATTCTGTGATTCTACGAAACTGCAGCCAAGGCCCCAAAGCCTAATAAATAACAAAGGTGATGGGATTCCCCCAGCCCTGTGCAGCAGCAGAGCAATACAGACAGATGGGCCTGGCTCCTTCTTTAATCAGGAGCTCGCAGGTCTCTGGCAGCAGCAGGGCAGATGTTTCTCTGTTCTGATGACAAGTTCCAACAAGGTCATCTCCAAAGGTGCCCTACCCAAATGGCGGAGGATTAATCCCCAAGTCTCCTCAGATCTCTCTGGGTGAGGGCACCACTGGCAGATTCCAGCCAAATAGGAGAGTTTCTTCCCCAGCCCTGTGAACAGCTCTGCTGGAAAAAGCTGGATTATCTCCAAGCAACTCTTTTGCTCCAAGTCCTGTGCTGCAGTGACACCCCTCTCCCAGGCTTTTTGTGTTTTATCTAAAGAACATACAGCTCCATGCTTTGCACCGAGGGAAACAAAGACAAGAAGATGCTTCTCCTATATTGATTAGACAGAGAGTTCATCTTACTGAAGTATTTTACTCTCACTGTGTTTAACACACGTGACTATTGCACTCATTTATAAACCCTCCTTGCCACTAAGTAGATTACTTTAGTCCTATAGGATGACTATAAGAAATAGTCCTATGAAAATAACAATTTGTCTTTGAGAAAACTAAATGAATTAAATTAAGAAAGGTGGGAACTCACATCTCATGAAATACACTCCTGGGTGAGGTATCTGTTGCTTTCAATATTTAAAAAAACCTTTTTAGTTTTAGAAAACACACCATTGGAAAAATTAAGGTCTGCTTCCATTTCTCATCCTAAGTAATTATCTTATTTCTGGAGTCTAGCCTAACTGTCTGGTTTGTGACATCCCATTAAGCCAGAGTGTCTAAACAAGGTTCTGTGCTGTCCTAGTCTGCTGGCCGCTGAGGGACTGGGTCACCCCACTCACACTTCGGGCAGCTGGGGCCACCACTGCTTGCAAGAGACACACCTAGTGCCAACTTTGCATCTACATAACGCCAGTACAATTCTTTATTTATCCAGTGTTACTATGAGCTGGCATGCTGCAAAACCAAATTAAAAAAGGCAAGTTAATCTGAACCTTGACATGCCAGACACTGAAGCCTAAATCACTTTCTCCAGGGGTAGAACAAAAGCTTTGGTTTATTTGCTACACATTTCCAGTAAAACATTTAAGCTCCATTTGGAAACACTAGCCCTAGCGTGACATCAGGAGAGTCAGTTGTCTGTGCAGCACAAGAAGCCACTGCACTTCGCGTGCTGTACGGCACATCTTTGTATTGTGTGGTGCGATACCTTGTTCGAGGATCCATTTCCCCCGCACCCCACCAGGAGCTGAGCCTCACGTGATGGTTTGGTTTGTAAAGCATTTGCAATGCTCCTAAAAGCTCAGGACTGAGACTCCGAGCCTGCTCAACACCTGGTGTTGGCCAACTCTTGTGACCTGCCCGGGTGTTGGCTCCGCATGAAGCGAGAACCCGGCCCCGCACACGGATGCGATTAGGAAAACGTCGGCTCATCTCCAGATTAAAAACCACTCTGTTCACAAAATCAGACAAGCAAGACTTAACCGGAAGGATTTCCAGTGCCAAAGTATATTTCAAGGAATTAGCTACAGATATGTGTGCTTTGTGCAAAAATGCTTATTAGACAGGCAGACGCAGAGGAACACACACAGAAAGCAAAGCCAAGCAACACACACACTCAGCTCCTTGGCTTTTCCCTAGTGACAGATCCATAGCTATCAGGACCAGAAAAGGAGATTACAATCATTATGTCTAACCTTCCTTTAAGGAATTAGGGAATCCCAGAAGAGGCTGAGATCAGCCACTGTTCTGAAAGGATTATGACAATTTGGGGTTGGGGTGGGGGAAGCAAGCAAGATATGTCTTGCAATCTGTAAAGCATATATATATATATATTTTTGTCCTCTAATCTCAAAATACAAGCTAGTGCCTTCAAAGTAGACACTATGGGGTTCTCTACATCACCATCTAAAATAATTTGTGTGTTGTACAAGTAAAAAATGGTATTAACTTCAGAGACTCACCGGTCTGGCTACACAGTACCAAGATCAGAATGTAACAGCACAGTATTTCTTACCAAGCACTGAAGTCAAGACTCAAATTGCACAACGCCTTTTTTTCCCCCATTGAATTTCTGGACTAAGGGAACAAACACTGAAAAACATGACCGCTTCCTTCTAGCCTGGCTGTGCTGCCCTGAGCCAAACTACAGATCAGGTTTGAGCACTTTGTGCCGTGATACTCACCAGTATGCGACATGAGGACGGTGCCCTTGCCCATGTCCCACGCATTGTAGATCACAGCCGCAGTCGCACCCCTTCTGGCTGCCACGTCAATTTTTTCAGCAAAACTGCAACCGCCTCTTTCAATCAGTGCTATCCACGGTGGTTTTGTGATGGTGAACCGGGTATCTGCATTGCAGGCTTGAAGATTAGCAGATGTCGGAATGGCCACAAGGCCCTGAGCACTAAGCAGAGGAGAATTTAATCCGTACAGGCCACATTTGCATTGCTCAGACACAGACCTGTTGCTAGTGCTGTTGAAATAGGATAAACTTAGAGAGGCTTTCACATGAAATGCCTCTGCAGTCTTGAATAAAGTAGTAAGGACCATCAGGAGGCAGAAATAACTGAATTTATGCACTTGCTTCATTGCTTATTCTTGAGAGCACAAAGCGTAGACGTCTACAGCGTCTACAGCTATTTTCGGCCGGCGTTAGTCGAGGTTAACCCACAGCCTGCCGAGCAGTTTGAAATTTCAGTTCCAGCAGGAACCTGACACCACCCAAGTGTATCCTGGAGGTGTCACTGAGCTTATGGGGGGGCTGGGTCTGGACACAAGTGACACAACTGCCTATTGTGAAGTCATCGTAGAATCATAGAATCATAGAATCATAGAATCATAGAATCATAGAATCATAGAATCATAGAATCATAGAATCATAGAATGGCCTAAGCTGGAAGGGACATCATGCAGACTGAAGGACCTGCAAGTAACCTTCGGCCCCAGCTTTCTGCTCCTTTTTGAGAGCTTCGTTCTTCCGCTCCTTCTCTCCCACTTCTGCCCAAATTGTAGCTTTGATGATGCTTCCTGAGAGATTGCTCAAGGTCCTCGCTCCCGTTTCAACCTGAACGTCACTTCAGAGGGCCAGGTCATGTTTCATTCAGCGATGTAAGCTCAGGGTTCTCACTTCACAACACAATCTGCGATGCAAATGACTTGTTGAAACAGTCAAAAGTGGAGGGAGGGAAATATTAAAAAAAAAAAAATCACCCATCTTATGGACTAAGATAACCAAGTCCTTCCCCACATTTCTCCTTTTGGATTCTTTCAGTCATCTGTGCTACCAGGTCCAGCTTGTTCTGGTGTTTATAATGAACTGATTTTAATACAGATTTATACTCATGCAGGAGAATCCTGCATGAACCACAGAAGAAAATAAACTCTTTCCACTCATTTTCTTACTCTAGCTCGGTTTGAAAATTTTTGTTGTTTGACTGATTATCGCACAATTCCCCATTTTTTGACACAGGGTCTCTAGATTCTTCCTCTCAGTTCAGTCAGTGTTGTGTCCCATAGCAATTACTAGTGTCAACTCTTATTTTCTTATATTATAAGAGAGAAATTAAATCCTTACTTATGTCTGAGTCATTAATGGAAATAAAGGACAAACTGTGAAGTTATCAAGACCTTTTCCCCGTTTTTTCTGAAAAAGCCACGCTGTGCAGTGTTGAAAGCCAAGAGCTGCAATTGGTGGCATGCAGCTTGACAGAAGCTCGACCTAGTTTTCCTGCAAAGATTCTTTAAAAGAATAAACATGACGGTGGAGAAGTTTCCTGGAAAACTGAAACAGCTTTCAGAAATTACAAGAAAATGGAAAGGAATAATCCAAGACGTTTACATATATTAATTCATTTATTTATATCCTGCAGTCCTCACTGTTGCACTAGTTCTACATCACATATGACTCAGCAAGCTTTATACACACACAAGTACCATCAGCTACATACAGTTTACCTTCCCCTGGTCGTCTTTGAAATTAATGCTGGAAATGTAAGAAACATGCAAACACAGTATTTCTAGAGTACAGTTCTTCGGCTAGGTATGAATTCTACAGTTAGGGAATGTGCTCTTAGAGTATTTTATCCTCAGCAGCAGCAACAAAGATAATTCCTATGACATTTTGCAGGAGTGAATATTTTGTATCTTAGTTTAACATGGCAAAATTAACAGGTTTTGACAGACTCAGGATCAAAAATACTTCCTATTTTACTTGCGTCAATAAACAATAAATAGAACAGTAAATAGTTTCTTCGCGAAGCGCAAAGTGGTGGTTTGGCCGGGAGGAGGGAGACACAGAGTGGAGGGACCGTGTATTAACATCATAACGCTTCAGAGACTGAAGTCGGTATATTAAGTTTACTGCAGCTGAAGTTTTCAGTACAGGGATGCGGTAAGTGCCTCTACAGAACCATAAAGGTTGGAAAAGACCTTTAAGATCTTCTAGAATGACCCAGAGTATTGAAATTCCAAGTCTGCTACAGACATTGGTGATTCTCTAGCTACAGACAGAGCCTGTGCTTCTAACATTGGCACTTCAGTCTCCTTCCCAATTTTTGCCATGAAAAATTTCAAACGACACTTGTAAAATACAATTATAAAGTCTCAAGTTCATATTATGCACATTCCAAACTGTTCTGCTATTTGTCTGAGTTAGGAAGTCCTAACATGGAGAAAGAAATGATTAATGCTATATATTGAAAGTGTAGTAAAGGCAGTGCAATGTGGCAAACTGCTTTTGCTCCGTTTCTGTTTCGTGGGATGGCTGCAGTAGCAAGAACAAGCTGAATAGAGTGGCTCTGTGATAGTGTTGGCCACATCTGTCCTTTCATACAAAGATAATTACTTTAAAAATTGCTTCTAGAAATCATGGTTTCATTAAAATTAGACTTCGATCTGAAGTATATCTAAATAAAAAACACTGGCTGACACAGTCAGCATGGCTCAGTTTGGTACACGAAGTGCTGGTGCTAATCTCTCTCATTCTAGAGCAACGGCCTCTACCTTTCACATACCCCCAAGCAACAAAATTTCACAAGTAACATATTGTAAACAACAATGGGCTCCTTTTGGGTTGGTATGCTTTCATTCTACCTTCTGTGGCAAGGTGACAGTGTATGCTGAAAGGTATCGCTTGACCAGCGTTGCTCTAGAACTAATACTGTATGATCCATACAAAATATAAACATACCATACATAGTCACATTTAACTTCTAGTCTCTGTGCAATTTCAGTTAAACTTTCCTCATTAATAATACATTTGTAAACTGTAAATCACACTGAAGAGACAAAACAATTTCATCACTTCCCTCAGAATGTTTTCACTTTTTATCTCAAGTTGCCAATGAACTCATACTGTAATGAAGACAGCTACATTTCCCCCTCAGTTACGATTAACTGAAGTTAGGGTATAGAATTTAAGTACTTGAAGAAAGAAGTGCACCATCCCCAGGGCTGACAAGTGAGCTACTAGTCAAAAGCGGTACTCCCTAATCACCAACAGTACCTAGGAGTTTTCCAGAAAACAGTAAATCTGTTCCTATAAATTAACTCGGTGGGCTTTGGTCAATACTAGTACTATTTAATTGGCAAGCTTCCATAATGCAATCATTTCTTCTGAAGGAACTGAACTGAGACCAGCATTTCACATGGACAAGTTGTCAAATAGCAATGTGTTTTAGCTCCTGCTTGAGAATAATTTCCTACGAATCCAGCTGTATGACTGATTTCAGGCTGACATGGGAGGAAAAGGTGGGACTTGGTACTAAACTCAGCAGGAGCCAGCTGTTACTTAGCATACAGGCAAAAAGTTGACAGAATTTTACAGAGTCTCTTGCTCTTGTGGAAGTAGCAGCTTCTTGCAGCTGCTGAGCTCCTTCACGAACTCAGAATACAACTACTACTAAAAAGAAAGTCAGTGGTGATGAACAGAAAACATCCTAATGGTATGACAAACTGTGTATCTGGCCATGCTAAGCACTCCTTAAAGATGTATTTTCTCTCGCCAAGCTAGAAGCAAGTTCCACTAACATAGCTTCCTTTTTAAAAATATTTCAAATTTTTTATTTAATAAATAAAATACGTTAAAAATCTTTGAGTGCTACACTCACTATCCAATGCTGTATATACAAAAGTAGGCAAAAAAACACAGCAGTTGACCTTGCTGAGGTAAAAAGAACTGGAAATGGCTTCTTGGATCACTGAGTCCAGTCCCTGGTACTGAAGGAACTTAATTCCCCTTCACAAACACAGTAAGCTTCAAGCTAGAAGAGCAGTTAGGCTGCCCCAGTACCTCCCACTAAAAAATCACTAGAGAATATAACAGCTCTAATAAAAATTTTTCAAATTTTCAGCCTGAATTTATATCACAGGCAGTTAATTCCTTCGCAAATATTGCCTTTAATTTGGGAAAGCCCGTCTCTCCTCTCAGTTCTGACCCTGATCTAGACGTTCCTTGTGTATGTATGTGCACGGGCAGAGGAAGAGAGATGACAGTCATACTCCTGGGTGTCCTATCAGAAGATGAACTCACTGCACTCCTGTTCATCCTTCTTGAACACAAGTGAGCAAGAGATCATGTAATCTGTTTCCAGACTGCCAAAAAATAAAGGCAATAATCACCCTTCTCAATTACCTGGATGACCATTAAAATTGCTCCAAGAATCCTAATTTTACATTTGTGTCTGCCAGTTCTAGAAAAGTGCAATGTGTATAGGGTGTATAAGTTATAGCAATTTTATTTCCCTGCTTTTAAACAATATAAATTTAAAAAATAAGTTACTAAATTACACTGGATCCAGCAAACCAGGCTCCACTGTCGTGTAGATTTTGCTCAGAAAGACTTCCACCTTATCATCACCCAAGTGACAGATGTCCAAGATGCAGACAACATGCTTGCCATCTAGATCCATCGCTGCTTTTACAATTTCATCTACAAGTTAAGAAAAGATGCTTTAATACACATAAAAATGTATCCTGAACTGAAGTTGCTTTCCATGCAGTAATGTGTATATATTCAACCTTCTTGCAGTGAAAAACCTCACTCTAACTATTAAATGCTAGCCTACTGAGATTAGTTTTTGGTAGAATTTCATGAGTAAATTCAATTACTAGAAATGACAGCATCAGAACTTAGATATGGAAAAGCTGAAATATGTATTACCTAATCATTAGTGATTCTCAGACTCAATAGTATTATTCAAGAAAAAGTAAAGATGTATTTAAGTAAAATCAGGTCTGTCCATATAAACATGCAGGAAAAGACGATGCTTACATAGCACTTCGCAGTACGATACACAATAATAGTGTTCACCACATTTGTTGTAAGGTGCTAGTACTAAAAAGCCTAATCTGAAGGAAAATAACCCAACAGCAGGCAAATACTTCAGCTTATAGGCACTGTAGGTTGTGTTAAAGCAGCTGTTCAAAGTGACACCACGTGAAATGGATCAAGCGAGTGACAGTTAATCCACTCTCGTTCAAAGCAGCTAAGCCAAACGTCCACATGCTCAGCCACACATCCTGACTTGTATGTCAGTATAATTTTGTATCAACAAATAACTGCAAATACTGTCTAGGTTACTTAAAAGTTTGTGGTTTGGGTATTAAAACACTATCTTCAGAGTATGAGAACAGCTCCAGTAAAAACTGCCTTGAAAGTTCAGCATTACAACTGTTCAGTAAAGTGGTTGCATAGAGTTCACCTGTCTCTCACTGAAGAGGTGAAGAGTGTCTGACTTACAACAGAGATGTCTACAGAAGATTAACTCTTGCATCGAAGGATAAAACAAGAAAGGATAAATGTGTAACATCAGCGAATGTCAGGCTCACCTGACAGTGGAAACATGTCACAAAGCCTTCCACTGCTAGTGGTCTCCTGCTGACACGAAGAGATGCAACTCATACAAGACAATAATGTATCATTTTGAATGTCTTCTAGTTGGAATAAGTGGGGATCTTCAGGACAAAACAGTGGAAGAAATGCGACATCTATTGCTACATCGTGGTTTATACCTGTTGAAAAAAACCACTTACGTTAGCAGAAAACTTCACCTTCAGCCCCTTTGCAGCTTCATATGCCATTTCTTCTTCTTTTAAAAACCCAAACTATTGCAGGCTCAACACTGACTTTTTACTTACTTGTTCTTTGCTCATTAATGAATAACTGACATCTAAAAATACACTTTGAGATACATATACATATATAAGCACATACAAACTGATATGATGTTATATTACGATTTAAAGCTAAAAATGCTGTTAGCTCAGAAAATATTGAACCAATACTGGAAGCCATTTCACACTCCTTTTTAACTGCATGACTGCTACAAGGGCAGGGAAATAAATTTTACAACCAGTGTATCTGTGCAACACACAGTGCAGGACTTGTGCTACTTTTGTCTTAAATATTATATCGCAAGCCCCAGGATTCTAATGACTGTACTCTAACACCTTCTCTGTAAATAATTCCCCAGCAAATAAAGGAAACTTTTAAATTATGGGAACTTAATATGAGTGTGGTTAAGCTAGGCAATCTCCTTCTCTTAATGCGAAAACAAGATCAGATTAATAACCCACAGTAATGCAAACAGATACGTATCAAATTGCATACTCACATTTTAACAAATAAAGATCAAACAACGGATGCTTTGTGCTAACCAGAAGCAGCAGAGAGCAGTTGATGCATGTGGCTAAAATTCAGTCCCTTAAGCAACAGCACTCAGAAACAACTGAATGAGAATAAAGCTCAAAAGGAACATTTAGTTGTCCTTTTCCCTTTAAGAACACTGACTTGTTTCTGATGAATACCTTGCCCGCAGGGAAGTCAGCTGACAATCAAGAGCAATTGAATAATTTACGTGATTATGTCAGACTGGCTGAACTAGTGAACAGGACCTACCCCTATCTGTAATGATCAATATCTTAAAGGATTAACCATGTTCTTCAAATGACACACAAAAACCTATGCACTAAACTCCAACTATATGGAAAGCAACACTAGAAACAAGATATTTGGTCATTTAATTTAAAAGTACTTTTCATGAGAATTACAGCTTTGTGGTAAAAAATGTTCATAAATTGTGACTAACAAGAATCTAAAATGTCAATCACTTTTTAAAAACTCCCAGAAACACTCAGAACCAAAGGATTCACTTAAAGAAATCCATTCAGTTTCTGACAAGCCTTCAAGCTATTCTTTATGCAGCTGAGAGGTGAGGTTAAGCTCTTCCTTAACTTTTTCTAGAAGCCGAGCTACTAAACACTTACCCAGAACTGTCACTTCATAATAGCCAAGGCCACTAGCACTTTTAAACTCATTGATACTTTTATCTGTTCTGGTTTCTTTTGGCTGGTGCACTGCTGCATGAAGGTTGTACTGTTGCATCAGTAAGTCTTTGTGCACATAATCAAATTTACGTGGGACGCTTTCTGGGAAAATTGTGCTGTGATGCAAATATTTCATTAACTTGTCTTTCACTTGTGTCCACAGGTCACTGTGCCATGAATCATAAGTTCTTCCGGTCTCTTCAGTTTCAGATATATCAATCATTCCTTCTTGGTCTATTATAAACACAGAAAATATTCAGTTGGTTACATGCTCATAGAATCATATCACTTCTCTCCTAGATGAGAAATATTTTCATTAGAACATTTCAATTACAAAGACATGGCAGAATGTTCAAAACATACAACGCAATTAATTAAACTAGGGTTGGAACATAAGTAAACCAGTAACCTTAAGAGGCTAGACTGGTAGCAAAACCACTTATTTCACCACATGAAGAGCATCGTTGTGACTTGGTTTTGGAGAGCGTGTAAAATGAACAGCCAGAAGCCATGAAAACAAATTTGAAATGGGTACAAGTGAAGGTAAACTTTTCCATCTCTTGCACAATAAATACACACTTAACTTGAGGACTATGTTGCATTTAAAATTTCTTGCTATTCAGTCAGTGATAGCTCCAGTCTGCTTTCCTATTACATGTACCTTCAGGATTGTTAATGGTTGTCCTGGGTTTAGCTAAAACCCAGTCCTGTTTAGTGATTTGTTTACTTTTCAGTTTAGTCTCTTCCAAAAGGCTGTATTTTCTGAAGTCAGCAGCACGTTTTTGCAGACAGTGTGTGCTACTGGCAGTGGTAACACCTGATGTTTGCAGTCACTGCCTGGGACTGGGATGCAGACAGGCTCTTGCTGATATTTCTGCAGTGCCCAAGGCCACTGCTGGCTCTTGTGTGCCACACTGGGGGTGCCGGGTAGTAAGGGGGGGTCACAAGGAAGTAAAAGGTTGCACCTCTGGGGGGTAACAGACAGGACAGTGACCAACGAGAGTATTCCATCCCATATACCTTGTATTCAGTATAAATTGAGTGATCACGAGAGTTTCATCCCTTCCTTCTTCTTTGTCCTTTTCTGCAATGGCCAGTGTCCAGAGAGGGCTCCATCTGACCTCCTGCTTTTGATCCGGACCCAGAGTTCCGGAATCCAGCTCCCTGTATCCAGCTCCCCGCCGCCGATGCTGAGCCTGGGGCTTCCCCAGTGCCTCCTGCTCTGCAGCATCAGTGGGGTTTGCTATCAGGGGAGGGAGTCAGGTTTGATATCGGGCTACTATCTATAGTTGTATATAGTTCTTTACTTTTATCATTCCACTATTATTTTCTATTATTGTTTTCATTAACGCTGTTCTAGTTTTTTTTCTTCTCTAACCCGAAACTCTCTCTGCTTCATTCCCTTTTCCTTCCCATCTCGGGGGGAGAGGGAGTTAGGGAGCATCTGTCCGTGTTAGCGGCCAGCCCAGCCCTAACCCACGACAACAGGAAAAGCTTCTATAACCATCACTTCCAACTTGAAGGCAAGGGTTAATCACCACCTTCTAAGCTCATTTCAAAATATTCCCAGCATAGCCTTGTACCTCCTCCACCTCCTGTGAAACAGCTTCTCACCGAGCACCCTTCTGAACTGGGTGTATTATCCACCCCGACACTTCTTTGTGAAGGTAGGCTCTTTAACCTTACTTCTTTTTAGCCTCATAATTGCTTTGATGGAGTATCAGAACGTTCAAAAATGAAGAAACCAGACTACGCACAGACAAACTTGATACAACACATGCAAGAACATTCAACAAGGGAAATAATTCTTGATGCCTTGAATTAGACAACGAAGACAGTGAACTGAAAAAAAATTGACACCAATATTGAAACTGAGTGCCTGCTTTGGATTGCCTAAAGCAGTCGGCAGTATTTTTCCCACAGAACTGGAATTCAACATACAAGGTGAAGGGGCACATGAAAGCTGCTGCAGGAAGAAACATTTTTTCTCATCATTTTACTTGGAGAACTACAGGATTCTCTACAGGTATGAAGAAAAAATATTAGGCAAAAAAGAGTGCAAAAAAGTTTCAGAATATAAGTAGCGGGATTAAAAAATCCCATCCTTTCTCTTTCTAAAAATTCAATCTAACTTTCTCCCTCCATCTATCATTGATGCTGTAATTTGTGTGTCCTACTTGTACACCCACTCTTAATTTAGCATAACCAGATGTGTAATTAGGACAGCACAGCAGAAACAGCCAGCACTGGTTATTTAAACAGTAAGATGTGGAAATCTTTAACAATCTGACTGCATTTTAGAAGCAAAAGATGTTTGAGCTCCTCTAGCTACAGAGAGCATCGTGGTAGCAAAGACTACTTTCTTCTCTAAACCAACCAAAAATATCAAAATGGCCATGGTAAACATTTAAACACATGATCTCCCATAAAAATCAACTGAAATGAACTTTGAGTTCAGTTAGCAGATTTTTTTTTTAAAATCTATCACACAATTACAGTATGCAGATTTTTTCTTGTTAAAATAAAAGTTAATTTGATCATCAGCCTACACTGTTACTATATAGTTTCTGTCTTGCAAACACTTTTGTTAGTAAATCCATGTGAGTACATTTCTGCTTTACAGTCAGATTTCATGTCATCTTAGAGCACAGAATGCAATCTTTTACTGCTCCTTCCTTTGTACCTCTGGCAAAAAACAGCATCTGGAATTCCAGCAAGCAAACCTTATCCCAATACTACTTCCCTGCCTCAAAGATATTTCAACATTTAAAAAATACACTTGAATAATTTATTTTGTTTTGGATATCTCTGTTGGCTCTTTTTGTACACCTACCCAATCACTACTCAAAAGAGTTACTTTGCCGCAGGCTGCTATGATTCGGAGCTGCTGAGAGAGAGAAATGTCAGCACCGCTGATACATAGTTATAAACGGGGGTGGAAAATTTCATGTTCCCATAAAAAGCTTTGAAAGGCAGCTGAGGGCAGTTTCCCTTGGTGGTATAAAAAACCCAAAAAGCTCTACCTGGGACCATGGCAATAACGCCAGCAGCTTTTCATTTTATATGGTACCTATGACCTGTCCACCAGTAAAAAGAAAAATAAGTATGTAATATCTAAGTCTGATATACAATCTCAGAATATTGAAAAAAAAAAGATACCTTAAAATCTGAAAAATGTTCACTTTGATACATATGTCATAATTGGTAGGCTTGTTAAAAAAAATGTAAACTTGCTGTTGTTTATATAAAACTAGCATCAGCTAAACAATTAGTATTTTACGTACGAGTAATAATACTGCCAGTAGGACTAACATGTGAGAAAAATATGTGCATATGTTTAGTAGCCACATTTACTACCACATTCATATAGCTATTGCATACTGACATTAAAGGAGACACTGATCAATTTATTTTGGACTACACTCAAAATATCAGAATGAAAGACTCTAAAGATAACTGTATTTCCTAAATAAATATCTAAATAAAACTATCTTTAAGTACTTAATCCAAGATTTCTTTACTACCACTAAAAATGAGGCATGTATTTCATTGTACATCTTCACATCACAGAGCCATAGAAACTTTTGGTTTCTGAAAACCAGCCTTTTAAATCAACTCATTGAAATCACATACTTGCATTCATTTTATGAGTTTTACACAATATCCCAACAATTCTAGAGAGCAAAGCATAGCACCATAAACGTCACAACTATGAGAAATTCCTGCAAAAAATAATTAGGTGAGAACATTCAATCCGATCTCTCATTTTTAAAAGCAACAAGAAATCTTACCAAAGACTAATGACCAATAAAGTAATCAATTATCAAACTCGCTTACGGATATGTTCCCTTACTTTTGAAGAACAGATCTCTACGTGGTATCTGAGGCTGCTCCTTCTCCAGAATAAAACTCCACTTTAAATAATTACCTGTGGAAACTTTCCTTCAATTTGAAAACTTCTTCATAATTTCAGGCTCTTAATATATGTCACATTTGGGAACATTCACTATAATTTCTATTGCTTTAAGCAGCACGATGGAGAAGATCATCAAGAGGCTACAAAGATAACCTATTGCAATCATTACTAAACTAAGACACACTGCTACCTTGTAAAAATAAAATAATATAGCTAGACAGAAGTAAATTGGCAGATGTTAATGCTGGGACAGGTGCTGGTAGTAGACAAACTTTTAGATAAAGTTACATGACTCAAATATATTCAGTCAGCTTTGAAAAGAGGAAAAGATGTCAAAATATTTGCATGAAAAAAAAACCGGACCCAGTTATGTTGACAGCTGACAAATTAGACTTCTTTCTTAATCCAGAAATAGATATTAAGAAACTAACTACATGGAACAGGAGTTATTTTTCAATTGCAGAACAATAAAATAACATTATTAATTTAGAAAAATTCCTAAACCAATCACCATTCTTATTGGCTTCTATGTTTCATCCATTTCCTCCCCACATCCTGTAGCTGTCTTTTCCATAAGGTCCTCACATAGCTTTGGAGCTATCTTCCCAGAGAGGGAAAAACTTAGCACATGCAGACCTCTATAGCAAGAAAACTGCCAGCAGAAAATGTAAGGTCTTCTGCTACTAAATGGTTCTGAGGAACAAAACTATCTTAACACTCGTATAAAGCAACACTGAGACTTTATTCCCCAGACTGGGAAACAGCTCAACAGGGTCCTTCCAGCCATCCTGTAAGGCACATCAGGGACATGACTGAGCAGAATGACTTTAACAACACGTTGCTACAGCGGGTCCTTAAGGGTTTGATGCAGCCAGATGTACGGAAGAGCTATCTCGACAAACCAGGGTTGTAAGGATATCTTTGTTGCCTGTTTTGGACCTGAAGAGAAGAAATATGCATAAACCTGCTAAGGTTAATGAAACAACCACTTGCAACATACCTGTGCAGTTCTGTAAACTGTCTGATACAGCCTGTTCACGTTTATCTTGCATAAAATCTTCACGTTCAAATTCATCCAAGCTATAAAAAGAAAGTTATAGCACATATATATATATGTTTAAAAACGTTTTTAACCTTAAACACTATGCAACGAAAGTTAAAACCTTGACAAATGTGTAACTATAATGCAAGCTCGAACGAGTGAGCACTAGTACCTGGTTTCAGATCACAAGAGTGGTAACATAGCAGCTTGACCTACTCTGCTCACTAAATCAGTTTTGAAGAGCTTAGAACAAGAGCTGCTGTATTTTGCTTTATGAAGTAGATCGGACAGTATTTTAGTCACAAATCGGCGTTTGTTGCCCTCTCCTGGGCATCTACTGGAAATAGCATGTGTGCCACTAAAAGCTCAAGAGGACAAACGGCCAACAGGTTTGTGACTTCGTTTCACAGAACAGTCGCACAGCATGCTGCTGTGCTTTCAGATCAGCACCCTTCAGCAGTCAAAATCAGAGCACAAACAGAGCTGCGTTATCACTCCAGAACCCTAAATCACACAGAAATTTAAAATACATATTTTCCTTTTGATGTACCAACTACCCTGTTGTAAAAATCAGTTCAATCAAGAAAACTAGATCATAGAAACATAGAATGGCCTAAGCTGGAAGGGATTTTAGAGATCATTTTAATCCAGCCTCCCTGCCACCAGGGGCGCCACCTCTCGACTAGATCAGGCAACACATGGGGACTGAACGGGAATCGAACCCGTGACCTTAGCGTTGTTAGCGCTACGCTCTACTGACTGAGCTAACCGGCCCCCTAGATTTTTGTTACATTTTCATTTTTAACCTTGAAATTTTGAATTAACCATAAGCAACTATTCTCTAACAATCTCTGATGAATTACCTAGGATATTACGCAGAAGAAAAACATAACACATACTCCGCAGCCACAATATGGTGAAACAAACTCCCAGGCTCATTTATTCCTTTCCTCTTTGCTCCATTAGTATAGACTCACCATTCTGTCTGAATAAACTTAGGAAAGAGACTATCTTGATTATCTTGCCTCACAAACAACTGAGGCACAGGCAAGACTTCGTTGAGGTACCATTGAAATTCCAGACTACGAAAGCAGTTACTAATGAAATGCTGTAACTGCAGATACCCAAGAACAATATAGACACAATGAAAAAGGAATCAAAGACGAACACGTTGTTTAGTTGTAAGGATTTACAGGTTTGGCTTTTTAAAATTTTTTTCCCGTTTGATATTAGGATACATATTGAAAACTTACTGTCAATGTTTCACAACAAATGGAAATTATCTAAAATCTAGTGGAAAGCTAAGAGGAAATACGCAGTGTCTCTTCAGTATGAAAGTATATTTTATGGCATGCACTACCATCACACTGTGAGCTGTGACCTCGTGATCTCCAACTCTAGGCACAAAAGAATCCTCACTTCAGCAGCACAAACTGTGCAACTGAGGTGTCAGTCGCCTAATTTTGTAAACTAGAGAAGCTGCCACACCGAGAACTTTAAAACAGCGTGGTCCTACTTGCTTCCCACCACCCAGCCAAGCTTCTGAACATCTGCGTCAGGTAAATGAAAATTTTATGTGTTTCTATGAGACTTTGTAGCCCAAATTTTGAGGTCCACAGCAACCTCAGAAAGATATATCCAAGATATCAAATCTAAATTTATGCAGTGGTATTTCCATGGTTTCTGATGAAAGGTATAAGCAAAGTTTGTCTCTTTCTAAAATAATTCATTAATTACACTGTGCTTCCTATGGTATTATTTCTAGGTAAAAGAATTTTTCCATGAAAATAGTATTTTATGAAGAATTAATTTCCTTCACAAGAGCCATCATGGAAAATAAGCACTGTGTATGTATAACAATAAATTAAGCATTTACAAACCAGCTCTATTAATACATTTTCAAGCCATTAAGAGACATTTGCAAAAGTATTAACAAAAGTAGTCTAATTAAAAATTAATGCTCACAAAACTAATTCTCAGTTGAGAGACTCAGACTTCTCAACGACAGACATGGAAATCTATCTCAATGTTAGGAAAGGCTTATTCAGAAATCAATGTCAAGTTAGACACATGTCAACTTCCCTCTTCATTAAAGCAGAGGATTAAACCAAGTCATCCTGCTGACAAGTTATTACAGAAATGGATTCTTTTTAAAATTGTCTAGGTTTGGAGTTGAATAGGCTCTGATTTAGAGCTAGCACAGCCTCTGAAAAACACGAAAATAACTCGTTACAAGTTTTCCCCACTTCTTTCACAGATGTGTAGCTGGGATGATTTCTCCTGCCTGCCCAACGTGTCATTCCTACAGGACTGCTTTGTGCACAGAGGAGCTTGAGTGAGGCTGTAGGGGAAACCTACCTGTCTATACAGACAGTTCATAAGCTTCTTTACCACCCAGTACACCAGATGCAACCCAAATTCTTCCATTCACAGCAAAGCTCCCACGTTTCTATTTTGCCCATGCCAATTTGATGAGAATTTGGGCCTTGCCAATATGCATTCTGCACACTCCCCTTTTCAGAGATGCCCACTTGCAAAAGCCTTTATTCCATATTTCTAGATGCATTAGTATTCACCTTTTCAGTAGTTTTACTTTAAAGTGTTAAATAATTAGTAAATAATACTAATCAACAGAGATGGTAGATTAATACTTTTAGAATATATTGGGAAAATAAGCTTGTCTTGTGCTTCCCGTCTATTTTGCAAGCACTGAGACAAAATGTGATAAATAAAGTTAAGAATGAAAATAGTTAAAACTTATAACTATGCCCAAATGATGCAAGGAATTAAAATGTCTCAAAATAAGAAAACAAAATACCCCACTCACTGATATAACAGGTAAAACTCTTGTTTTATAGATTGGTTTGAGATCAACTGTCATCATTATGGTATACACATCTACCACAGCAAGTAATAACCTTCTACGATAATTTGATAAGTTTACACAAATTGATTTTTGTTACCTACAAATTTCTCCCTGAAAAAATCTGATTTAGGTGAAAAAGGGCTCTGAAGCAAGTGTTAAATTCTTGGAAACTTTCAGTCATGCAAATCTCAAGCTGAATTTCCCCATCCCCTCATCAGAGGTAAGGCCAAAAGGAGAAAAGGGTCCAAGTTACGTAAGCATTTAGAAGTGAAACTGCAAAGACAGAAGCATATGAACAAGTTTCAAGCAGTGCAGAGTGTGAGCATGTAGTGAACCAGCAACCACACGGCAACTGCTCTACTAAACTTAAAGATTAAAATGCTAAGACAACTACTGTGGCTTTTTTCACTTCCATATAAAAAAAGCCTTTGTGAAATTCCTGATTTTTCCCCCTTTAACAATAAACCATCAATTAAACTACTTTGAGGTATACTAAATGTTTAAAAGTACATGATGTTGAATGTGTCTAATAGTAAGGATATAAATATCAACAATAACATTAAATTAACCAGCTTCCTCTTACCTTGTTTCTGAAACCCTTAATAATCAAACAAGTTGCCTCAGAAATGTAGGAACTGAGGCTGTCAAAGAGCCTTAATATAAACTTTTATAGTTTAGAAGTAAAAAAGGAAACTTAAAAAAATGCAACTATATGCTGAAAAACTGCACAAAATACTTGACACAAAATATTCTACGCTAGAACATGTACTTTGAAATATGTATCTACCATTATTTCATTAATGTGCTACAATATTTCATTGAGAGCTGACATTCTGTTACTTCTAAGCAACAGAACAGAAAATCATGCTTTTTAAGTCATGTCAGCCTAACTCTGTATTTTTTCCTCTGTAATTTGGAGAATTCAGAATAACTTCATAGTTAATTACAGAAATGCACAAGTTACCTTTTAATTATATAGAGGGAAACAGCTTTCCATAATCCAACACAGACTTTCTCCTCCTTTAGTTGGGGTTCTAGCACTAATGGCATAGAATGGACACACAGGTAGCGAGAGTAGCAGGTTGAGAAAAGCAGAGAACAAAGTAAACATGCCATAACTTTTTGCTTCACTTTTAAGAAACGGGGAGAAAACATTCTTCCCACCCTCCACCCCAAAAACCTGAATATTTCTCAGCAAGCCAAAGAAAAGAGGATTCCTCACATTTCAAAAAAAACCTTCTGGTTTTCCTATGGATTTGTGCCACAAGTCCCTGCAAACTCCTGCACCACCTGGAGGGAGGCGATCTTAAAGCCAAGTGTCACACTTGTAATGCAGGGGCTGTGGAGTCAGGCAAACACCGCCCCTAGAAAATGCAGAAAATACCTCTAGCAAGAGGACCAGAGGAAACAACAGCTGCGTGGGTTGAGCCTCATTTATACCACAGAAAAAGCTTTTGCAAATTAGCTTCCAAGCAATGTTCTTCAAGAAAATAGGCAGGCTTTTCAAGAAAACAAGCAATAATACTCACAGAATGGTCACCAACTTAGGATGAACTCCATCATCCCATTGTTGCTATATCCCTAGCACCATGATTCTTTGTTTGGGGGGCGGGAAGGAAAGAGAGCTAAAAACTAAGTAAACTAAGACAGCAACGGAGGGGTATAGGCATTTGTAACAAACCCATATCACCACTGCCAAAACCCAGAAACATCTGAACTTACTGAAACCAAAGAACTGAAACATTACAGTTATCTGAGTTGTCTTTGGAACAAATTACAATAATTTAAGGCCCTTAAACAAAAGGCACAAAGGACAGTAGCTTTTAACCTGAGACTAGCAAATAACAACGCTCATTCAGTTTTCTTAATAATCTCCCATTTTAAAGGGAATATTTTCCAACTTCATTAAGCTCCAGACTTGTGAGGGCTCTACCTAGATTGTTTTTTAAAAAAATTCTTCTCTGGATCCAAACCGAGTTCAAAAAAACTGAGTGAGAAGGAGCCAAGTGACTTACGTAGCATCAAGGATGATGTATAGCTCAGCCATCGTTAGCAAATCCATTCATGCTATTATACTGTTCGCTCTGCTTGCTAATCAAGCACCCCTCCCACCCCTACCTTTGACTTTCCTATTTAAACTGTAATCTCTCTGAAACAAAGACTACATATATTACTCTGCCTACTATGATGGAGACCTGTTACCATATATTCCTTAAGTAGCACTAGTAGAATTAATAACACACTCAAAATCACGTTTCAGAATAAAATAATCCAATATATTTGAACTAGAATCAATGCAGAGGAAGCAAATAGAAAATATTAAACTCTGCCCTGATCTGTTCTTTCATTTCATGCCCATACAAATAGCTGACCTGCTGAAGTTGTACTTCCAATACCTTTGTTTCATCACTAAAATGATTTAACATAATTAACTTCACATCACTTACCCAAATTTTCTTCTTGTAGACCGTGTGAAATAATGGTAAGATGATGGAGGAATAACAGATGCACTTCCCCTTAAAGTAGGAAACTCACCATTATTTTATAGTATTTATTTAAATGAAAATACATAAAGCAAAGAACATGCATGTTTTTCTTTCAAGGAAGAACTAATCTAAGACACTCAAAAGCTGGTTTTTCGTATGAGATGGAAATCCACTAACAAGTTTGTTGTAACACTGTCAAGACAGAACTTCTATTCATCAGGGTTTTCTTAGTCTTAATATTTCATTCAATCTTAACTATATTTGATCTCAAATATTCTGAATATCCACCCTTTTCCCACACCAGGACTTTTGGAAGTGAGAAGTCGAGACGAAAAATATACCCTGTCAACATATACACCAGGCTTTTAACGCTAAGCATGAGGTACATTATACTGTGCACAAACACTGCAACAAAGGGCAATCCTATGCAAGCAGGTATTTTACTCTCAGAGTTAATACGATTTTATCAGACAAATTACTTTGCCTTATTTCATTTCCTTGTATTGGACCGATATCCTTTATCTATGCCTGACCAGATGCAATGCAATTTCATGAAATGTCACCACAAGCAGAGCCACAGTACTACAACTGATTTTGAGCCTTTAGTTTATCACATGACCACCATCTACTTGCCTTTCTGACAGCAAGTTACAGCTACAGGCAGTACATTCCACTAACCAGAAAGAAAAAATAAGTTATGTTTGAAATTAAGGAACAGATATACCACATCAGGATTCCACATTTTTAGTGAAGAAGTCTTACTTCCTCACATTAGTGTAACTGTTGCTTGTTCGATAGCTATGTCACTGCACTACATATGGTTCAAGTATTAACTTTCAGTTCAAATCTTTGAGATGAACAACATAGTACCATAAATATTAATCACGAGAGCACTGAAAAACAGGCACTTGCTTTCATCAATCCTTCATTAGCCTGAACAGTGTAACTGCCACCATCTGATGCTGGGAAAAGTACCTAACCACCTTTTAAAGGCTGAACTATATATGCTTTTAAAGCTTTCAAATATATTTTCTGTGGCCTGGGCTCTGAACTTATTTCTGTAAACACTTTTGAGAAGATCCACTACATATTTATGAAGGGAGCTTACTGTTTTGTGTTTAATCTCCATGGTATCCTCTTGAAAGAGTTCCTTTTTGACAGTGGATCTTGGTGCTGATGTTGTTCCCCAGGTGTGCAATGCAGCCCCAGAGAAGACTTCACTTCTTTATTTTGAAGGTTGGTGTTTTTTCCCTTGTGAACACAGTCTTCTTTGGCCATAGCAGAACTTTCAAGAGACTGAGATGTATCTTTCTGCAACAACAGTTAATTGTTTAAAACTATTGCTTCCAACTAAAAAACCTGTAAGTTTTAAAGTAACATTTAAAGGAGAAGAATAATATACCCTACCTTCTGAAAGTCACATTCTATCTAGCAGAAATTATCTTCTGATCATATTAATAAGATAAATTTTGTTTATGAAGTGACAGCACGTTGCAGTAGCTGCCTCTCCCACATTCTAATTTACATTAGGTTATCCAGTCACTCAAACTGAACAGTTACCTGGTTTTATGGAGGACTGCCATAACACTTTGAGAAAAGCACTGAATCATTACTTCAAAAAAACTTGTAAATTATGGCTTTCAGAAATTTTGCTCTCAAAGTAGCAAATGCAGTTAATCAAGGTGTAACCAGGTTTTGAACTGAACTGCCAAATTCTCCATTCTAATTACGATCATAGTTGTGTAAGTGCTATAGGATTAACCGTCAAACACTGTACCTGAACAAGTTCCACCCCTGAGTCTTTTTCGGCGGCATTGCTACTGCGAATGTACCTTATGACACTAATTATTCCCTGAACAGCAATGCGCTTGTGTTCTCTGTAGTGCAAGTCTTCAATCTCCTTCTCTGTCTCACTTACGGTTTTCAAAACCGATTCAACTGCAAAAAAGAAATTTCTATAAGCAATCTTTAAAGAAATACAGTGACAAAATGTCAGAACGCAAGACTCAACAAAGACAGTTTTTACTAATTATTAAATTGATTTAAGATTATACTTTTGAAGAATTTTAAATTTTTCTGGTTTTCACATCATATGGAAAAAAATTAACCAGTTAGCCTTTTATCTCACAAGCATCTTTTAAGTGTGCATTATCAGATATCACAATTTCTGTTTCAGATGAAATTCCTAATTCGCTGTGTTCTTCAGTACAACTGTCTTGAATTCTGATTTAGCAGAATATTCAGAGTAAAACTTCTGACAGATCTGTAGCTCATGTAAGCTGCTACAGTTCTGCCGCAGCTGATACTTTCTGTACAATGAGGATTTAGCCTATTACACATTTAGTCACAAAAGAGAGTTTTTCTTAAATGACATTACAAATTTGTGTAATCACTAGTAGAAACTGTGTTGCTTTTTAAATGATGCTTTAAATGCTTGGAGTAAGACTAAACTGAAAGAGGCTACAAATCTTAAAGGTATTTGACGGTACAGTACCTTTATTGTTTTTACAATATTTCAAAAAGTTATCTGGAGGTCGCGGAAAAGGGTAATAGCCACCAATGACAGTTTTCTTGATTTGATCAGCTTCTCTTTGTGTTTTAGTCCACTGAATGAAGTTTTTCACTTTGGCATCCTTGGTGTATGGCTGGCCCTTGTGCCACCCTTTTAAAACAAAAAATATCAGGTATCAAAACCAAAGCAGGTTACTGTCACCTGCTCTCATCTTTAAACTACTCTGCACACTACGTAGAAAAAACAAGTTAAGAAAATGAGACTAGAGAATACAAAAAAAGGAAAAGCTTAAGTATTTAACTAGAAAATTAACTATAAAATATACTGAAAAAAGTAAAGGAAAAAAGACAATCTCTCAAACCTTTCATTTAGGAGTAAATGAAAATATCGGAAACTTATTAACAAAAGGACAACCATCTTTGCTAGTCCAAGAAAGCAAAAAACACCCAACCCAGCTCGTCAGGAAGGACAGTATGTACAGAAATGACTACATTTAGGCACTTTCTTAGCACATACTTTTCTCAGTTCCTGCTTGTCAGTGGGAAGATTCAGACTGGGTATCTGATATGCTTAAACACTATAAAAATGATCTAGATAAACAACTACAGGAAGGATACACCTATTGCATCTTATACTCCCTTGCAATCAAGCCAGTAATAAGGAAATCTGCAAGTGGGAAAAGCTGCAAGTGATTTTTATTGTTTTTAAGGAAGTGGTAGTCTGCACTGCTACAGTATCAACACGTGACTTAACCTAATAGTACTTACGTACTTTTTGTAAGGTACAGCTGTTAATGCCTCACAAGAACACAATTTGCCTTTTTCTTTTTGTGGTAGTATTTCATTACTACCTCAAAGTCATTTCTGACAGGGCAACTAATCCTACGCGCTGATTATTTTGTTGTAAAATGAAAACATCCTTTCCAAAAAAATGAGAACTACATAAAAGCAAAACTAGCTTAAGTTACCTGTAATGAATATTTGACTTTCATTTGAAGTTGTAAGGTAAATTGTGCTGGAAGAATTCTCAGTGATGTCCCGTACCACTCTCATCTGTGTACACACCAAGTACGTCACTGGAGGAAAAAACCCACAACAATAAAATTCGTTTTCTTTCCCTGATACTTCACTGATTTTAAAATGTCATAGTGGATTAATTTTATTAAATGCTCTAAGCAAGACATTTTACCTCTTGACCCCACAAATGTTTCAGTATGTAGTGGTCTCCATTATAAATTACAATATGGAGATGTAATTAAATTTTCAATTTAATAGCTATGCAAGGAAATTTCAGCATATATATTAGGACTAAACCATGAGATACTTCATCAGGTAGGATATCAATGAAATAAATATTAAAAATACGTATAGAATGGCTATGCATCTTAAGGATAAAAAGCATCACATCATAGAAAGCACAAGAAATCATAACATGCCCCTGCAAAACTTCTGGAGTTAAATACTTCTTAAAAACTTCTTCAGTTAAACACTGGAGCGTCACTCTGCTATTTCCCCAGAACACTCAACACGCATGTGGCTGTAATCTTGTGCAGCTGGTCCTGCATCATATGATATAAAAAATGCATGTGACACCAAGCAGTGTAAAGGAAGCGTGAGTGCTTGGAGGAGAAAGGAAAGACGGCAAGAAGAAATATTTAAAGCTCTTTTTAAATCCTTGATTAAGGATTCCACAGTTTTACATTTGTCATTCTTAGCTCATACGCAATAACTAACACAGCTAGGTGATGACTGCTTCAGCAAAAAGTATTTATGAAAAGAAATGAAGCTTTTCCACTTTCACCTCCAATCCTATTAAAAAAATACTTTTTCACAAGACAAATGGAGTAACTGATTTGACCAGCTGCCTCCTTTACTTCCTTCTGGTGCAAGACATTTTGCCCCAGGTGCTTCACTTAAGTTTCCATTTGAAATTAACGAGATTAGATGAGCTCCAGGCCCAGATGCACCTCTATTTGTTTAGACTAAGTGACAGATTGCAATATAATAAGGGTTTCAAATACTTAAACTATATTTTTTATTTTTAAATTTTAATTTCTGATCAGCTATTTTCTGTTGGAGGAGATAAATCACGGTAATTTTTTATTCAATAGAAATTATACTCTGAATTTGAAATTAAAAAAACCCAACTAAATCCCACTACAAATAATTATTAATAAATATTACTGAGAGATGCATACTTGGGTGAATACGCTCAAACACATCTGGCTGAGAAGTTGCAAATAATTCCAGTATGAAAGGTTGGTCTGAGGTCCCATCAATGGCATGTGCCCAGCGATAGAGCCAGAAGTCTTCACCACGTTCTATATAAACAAATATATATATAAAAAAGTAAAAGTTAAGCATTTATTGAGAAAGTTAAAAATTCTTTGACAAATTCAGAAAGTCGTATTTATAGAAATACCTCTCTTTCGTGCTCGTTCAGCCCTTCCTACAAATGTCACAAGACCAATGACATCACAGCAATGATTGTTTGGTAAGTCATCCAGTTCTGATCTAAAATGAAAGCAGAACAAAAACGTGTGTATTTTTTAATAACAAAACACAAAGTTTTCTCAGAAACTTTTCAAAAAGTATTTCCAATTAACATTCAGTATAACATAGTGAGATTTAAGTTCCAGCTTGACAACTACCAAAACTCTATTTTACCTTGTGATAAATCGGTATTTAACTTCAGGTAATCCCCACTCTGGCTTAACCATTTCTTCTGCAATAATACTTATTTTAGTGGGAGGGTCTCGGACATTAAGGCTGATTTCTGACAAAGAAAAACAAAAGTAACATTTAAGGCATACAAACAAAAAAGAAAATCCACAGAAATAACCCAACAGGGCAAAGTTTCTTAAATGAAGTATTCCAACTGTGTCTCATTGCTTGCAAAATTATTAACTTCTCCAACTTATGTTTTCATCAAAATAAAATAAGGAATTGAGGTACAGCATCGAACAAAGCAATTTTATAATGTGACTAACGTTTAACTTCCCAGTTTCCTGGATGAGCCAATTAGTCTGATCCAGCTTAATATTTTAACCAGGAACAAACACCAATACTGATCAGATACGAAGTTCTTCTTACACAAGCTTCGTTCTCAAATGTCATTACGATCTAAAACTGACTTGCAGACAGCGATGCAAAATAGAAGACAGAACTAATGGATGAGAACTTCCCTATCTGATATTAGTTCAGATAGTTATTAATATGACAGAAATATGCCATGGAGGAAAACAAAAGGCCTTTGCAAGTCTATTCTATCGCACCTGAAAAAATCGTTTATTAAGCAGGCTGTTCAGATGCTGAATAACAAATACGGTAGAGCATGGAAGGAAGTGAGGATTTTGGCAACCAGATGAAAAATACAAGAGGAATGGCTTCAGCCGCTAGACTATCCAATGTGGTATTTTATTGTCTCTCTCATAACAAGACAAATCTTGCTGGAGCGAAAAAGACAGATTCTGATGAAGTTTCTCCAAGATGTTTGGGTTTGGGTAAGGGATTATTCAAAAAATGCACCCAGAAAATTAAGCAGGTATAAACAATGTATACAGTTGTTTATCTAATTAGGTCCAGCCTCCCACCCTAGGGGTGCAACCTTGGGAAGATGTTATACTTGAAATCAGACCCTCTACTTACGAATTTTCTCTTGGTTGCTGCTTTCTAGAAATGTATTTGGAAGACAATCATGGGTTTGTATATGGTGTTTTAGGAGACTACCTCTGAGAAAATTCCTGAAAACAAAACTTTCCCATGCATCAAAACTATCAATCGTTTCGTCATTCTGAGACTAGTTCAAAGACACATACTCAACTCAGGACTACACCCTCGGATGACTCAAAAGCTAAGGTCAGCCCAGGCTACTCAGAGCAGCATTTTGTCATCAGCACCATACACGTTCAGTGATGTGTGAAACACACACATTGCCTGGCAGTGGAGTTCAAGGTGTTGGTACTAACTACTTAAGCTCCAAAGGCTTTAGGTCACGAATCAGCTTTTCTCAGCATGTCATACAATGTTGCAGCTGCAAACAGAAGCAAGCAATGCGAACTCACTTCACAGAAATCTAGGAATATGCCAGCAGCATATTGTCTTGCAAGAACTCTTAATTTAGACCCTCCAGACACATTTTATAACATTTGCAGGTAATTGGTTGGAAGGAAATACTGAAAAGTTGTGACTGATGGAATTACAAATTGGAAATAGATGATGAAAAAGTAACTGTTACTTAAGAAGTTCACTGGAATTGATCGCTTTAACTAGCTAGCTCAAGAACTTTCAGAGCATTCATGCACGCTTAAAAGAAGCTGAAGTACCGCCTCACATCAGGCATATCCAGAGAGATTTATATTAATAGAGCAATAACCGAGGCATTAACTTTCACTTCATCTGAACAGAAGAACGCTATACATTAGGAGTTGCATAAAATCGGTTTTAGAACTGCTCTATTTTTTTTTCTGGATATTCTGCTCTCTTTAGACTCTTTTCTTAAAGGATAAAGGGGCATAAGATCCATCAGCACACGGTATTATGTACATTGTAAGTTCATATTAAGATGAAATTCTTAGCTTTGTGCTGAGATAAGATACCATACATATGCAGATATTAATCAAAGATTAGTTTATGTGGGGTCTGAAAACATACCATAGAACTTTATTATAGGCTGACTTTTAATTTTTCCATTACACATCTTTTACCATTTGCAGCCCATTGGCCTATTCTTCCACTTCAACTTGTTTGTTAACACTTCTACCCCAATAATGCTTGCAGAAATCAGTAGTGTAGTGTGAAGGAGACATTAAAAAGAAGCGACGTTTGCCGATATAGAAAGTCAGCTCTGACTGCATATTATACTCTGTCCTTTTCCAGGAGAAAGGTTTTGTGAGAATTGTAATTGTTTTCAGGGCTTGCTTATAATCATAATCAACTTCCCGCATAAATTCCTGTTCCTGAATAAACATTTATCTTTCTGCCAACTCATCACAAACACTTCAGACATTCAGATCTGGTTTTAAGGCACAGATACATTAGGCAGAGAACACACTGCTGCTAGCAGTGAAAAGATTGTTTATTTTTGTGCACTGCAGCAATGGCACTAGAAAGGTGTCACTGTTAATAAATTATAGATGTCATCCTTCACTAACTGGCAGATTTGCTTGTTTCAAGGAAATTGTCTGAATTTTCTGAGTGTTGGCTGTTGCTCTGTTCGGAGCATAAAAGCACAAAAGGAGAAAACTCATGTTCAGCGAAGTAGGTAGGAGAGGAAAATAACCCAACTGACGAAATTGAGTTTAAGGCCATTATTGTTATACTTCAGCACTTGTATTTCTGTAGCATAGATCCTATGAATGTCTGTCACACGGAACAACTGCAGTAAGAAAATACTTTCTCATAGCCAAGCAATATTCATACATATATATGTGTACATAATATTCATACATATGTATATTGCTGTTTCAGCACAGACAGCAACCATCAATGCAACTTTTTATTCAGTGGAGTTTTGCAAACACTCCGGGCCTTGACGACATACACTAAAATCTGAAGTCAGATCAGGTGATAATGTGCTTCAACATCCTGGAAGAAGGTGTGAAGAGTGCATAAATGATATCTGTATTGTTAATAAGCAAGTAGAATCAAACTAAAATTCAGAACCAGAGGCCTGGGTTTAGGACCCCAACACATGAAATCAGGGATTAGATTTTTTAATTTTTTTTTAAAATACAAGTTTTAACTAATTGTGGCAATAAATTTAGTAGACATGATCCAAATATCAAGATGAAACAGCAAGAACTTGGATTGTAATACATCTTTCAGAGCTAATATTTAAGCATATATAGCTTATCAAATAGTCTCAGCAATGGGCCACTTTCTATTTTATTTCCATGAAGAGCTACCTTTTCACAGATATACTTGATTGAATCAAAAGAGGTTTCTGCAATACTTAACCAATTGTAGCAAATCTCTTCATCTGTGAATCCCCTGGGGTTGGCTGTGTTTTAAATGGGTAACTGGTTTTGATAGCGTACTGTTCAAGAAGTAGTACTGTGCCAACCTTTATACTGTTATACCATTCAGGACATAATGAATTCCACAAAACCATTGACATCATGCCTGAACCATCAGCAACCTCAAAGTACGCCTAAAGAAAAAAAAGAGACAAAGTACATTAATCCTTTATTTCTCATCATCCCGTTATATATTTACTCCGGATATTGCATCAGCTACTTGACTCACGAACAATTTATCTGATGACTAAAAGCGGATACAGGATGTGTTTCAAAACTTGTATTGAAGGCCAGAGTTGAAGAATTCCCCAATTTCCACCAAAGAATTCTTCCAGAACTACCCCAGTCCAAACTCTTTATCTTTCCAGTACTCAGTAATGGTAGGTCATACCAGTTTCACTCTACAGTTTTTGGAGCAGGTTGGAGAAATATCACACATAAGAAACAGTACTGACAAGACTCTCCTTTATCAGAAAGAATATTCTATTTAAAATAACATTTTGAAGCATCCACGAAGGCAACACACATTTTGCAAGTTGAGAAGTTATAGGACTATTTGCTAAACATTCTTGATCAAAACATGATACAAGTCTAATTTTGAAGAAAAAAAATGCAGAAAACAATCCACATTGCAAACTATCTTTACACTGAAGTTTCTATCACGACAAAGTTTTCTATCCATTCTTTTTTTTTTTAAACTGGGCAAATTTTGAATTCATAACAGCAGATCACTGAGCAGTGAAAAAGATTTTTAAACACTCTTGTAGTGGTCTTAAAAAGGCAGCAATCCACTGAAAAAAATCTCAGCTCTATCAAAATACTTCATTTAATCCACTCTCCCTAGTATGTCACCATTCTTGAACATATCTAACCCTTTACGTGTTTCTCCAAGCTCAAGATTATACGAATTAACACTTGTTAGTTCATTCTAATATTCCTAATGAGTCATCCTTGAAAGCAAACCATTATATCATAGAATCTTTCGTTATCACATTGGTTTACATCTAACAGAAATTCAACACAACACTAAAAAAAGGAATGCATAATACGAAAAGCGTGTAAAAATCTGACTGCTAACTTCCTGAGCTAAATCAGCACTGGTACTGATTCTACACCCAATACCAGGAAACGTGACTGCTGAACTGCCCTGAAATTTAGGAGTATCATCTAGACTGTCTACTGAGAGACACATCCAATAAAAAGACCCACATTTATCTTCATGTGCAAAGGGAATGGAAACTTGGAATGAGAGAATACCACAGTCCTTCATCAAGATGCTTCACACTGCTCTCTCCTCATGGAAGAATTCATATGAATTATTGGAGCTCTTTGTAAAGTATTTCCTTCCTGTTCAGCATCTGGCTGGGATGGTTTATTTCCTCTGCACCAGCCTGAATGGTGCCACATTTTAGATCTGTGACCAAAATAGTGCTGTTGCTGAACTGTTGCACCGTGTCTAGGTCTTCCTTACTCTGCCACCCCAGCAAGTTGGCTAGAGCTGGGCAAGAGGCTGAGAGGAGACACTGCCAAGACAGCTGTCCCGAACTGAGCCAGGGGATATTCCATGCCAGGTAACATAACGCTCAGATATAAACCAGGCTGTTACTCTTCCCAAAGTAAGCACTGTTCAGAGACTGGCTGAGCACTGGTTTGCCGGTCAGAGGCAATTAGCACTTGCCTTTACATCTCTTATTTATAATTTCCCCTCCTTCCTCTTTTCCCCTTCACCTGACAAAACTGTCTTTACGTCAGCCTATGGGTTTTCTTTTTTCCCCCTCCACCACGGAGGGCAGGGGAAAAGAAATTATTATGTGGTGAGTGCTGAGTTGCTGGCTGGGACCAAGCCACCATACCTCCGGTCTCAAAACAATCTGTTTGAAAGTCACCAGGTGATAGTTAGTTAGGGGGTACCAATTGTTAAAGTTTACTTGCCTTTTTTTTTTTTTTTGGACAAGACAAATTCCAGCATCCAAAGTATAGAGACTAGAAACATGTCAGCTGTTAAGCTATTAAAAACTCCAAATATACCTTTTTATTCACAAAAATTTCAAATGAAACATATCCAAAGTTTGTACATATGACCACTAAATTCAGCATTTCCTACTCTAAAGAGCTCAGCATTTTTGTGAAAAGTAGCATTTTTAATATGAAATAGTTACAACACAAATCTTAACTTTGTGTGCTTGCTCTACGGAAATGATGGTCTCCAAACACCCTCGAGCTATTCATTCAAGTGTCAACCTATGTATCTGTCCTGGTTTGAGCTAACCCTCAACAGTATTTATCCCTCTTTACCTGATAGGGCATATCCATTTTTTTCTCTGGTTTCCCGTAGTACCTTAGTCTAGACTTGTGCAGGACTCTCACAAGAAGTGGATGGAAGTGAAGTCTGCTTCTCCAGGTCATTTCCAGCTGACCAAGAGATGTCAGCTTGGAGACTAAAGTTAAAAGACACACACACAAAAAAAAGAGAAAAAGAAAAAAAAAGAAAAAGAACATTCATGATCAAATATTTAAATTTTCAGTAGTAAAGTGCACAGACTAGGATGTCATGTATATTTTCTTAATGTTTCTTATATTTAAAAAGGCTCATTTGACACTATTGACTCTTCACCACAAAATCAGGTTCTGAGCTATCTGCACACAGCACAGTTTTGTTGGTTTGGGTTTTTTTTTTTTGATTTAAAGAGTAAGTGACGACACAATATGACACAGAAGTGCTGTCAGATACGCAGAAGAGCCATGACAAAAGACATAGGCGTAAGCCTACAGGGACATCACACTTGTGCAAAAAGCCCCACTTAATACCTCCCTCCTCCCCAGGCTTTGTGGACTGGCCTGAGCCACTCAACAGTGACCACATTTTGGGTGGCAGCTTCTTGGTGCAAGCACCCAGTCACATAGACTATCCTAAACACTACTGCTTGCACAGATGCTTTTGACAGTCCAGAACACTGGGCACAAGAACCACAGCTACACCTTCTCAGTCAACTGTATCCTGGGCTACACCAAAAGAAGCATGGCCAGCAGGACAAGGGAGGGGATTCTGCCCCTCTCCTCTGCTCTTGTGAGACCCCACCTGGAGTACTATATCCAGCTCTGGAGTCCCCAGCACAAGAAGGACGTGGACTTGTTGGAGCGGGTCCAGAGGAGGCCACAAAGATGATCAAAGGGCTGGAGCACCTCTCCTACGAAGACAGGCTGAGAGAGTTGGGGTTGTTCAGCCTGGAGAAGATAAGGCTCCGGGGAGACCTTATAGCAGCCTTGCAGTACCTGAAGGGGTCTACAGGAAATTTGGGGAATGACTGTTTACATGGCAAGGGACAACCTATGTTTTTAAACTACAGTAGGGTAGATTAAGATTAAATATTAGGAATAAATTCTTCAGTGTGAGGGAGGTGAGACACTGGGAGGTTGCCCAGAGAAGCTGTGGATGCCTCATCCCTGGGAGTGCCCAAGGCCAGGCCGGACGGGCCTTTGAGCCGCCTGGGCCAGTGGGAGGTGTCCCTGCCCATGGCAGCAGGGTTGGAAGATCCCTTCCAACTCAAACCATTCTACATTTCATGAGGTTTAAGCAGCTAACACAAGCACTGCAATAGGCATGGCACATTGGTATTGGTGTCTAAGGCAACAGAGGGTTGCTTCTGACCAGCGAGTTGGGCCCAGTCGCGCACACCACACAACTAGCACACCCTCTCATCTTTGCGGGCCCCTCTGAAAAGGCTTCGTCCGCACAGGCCTCTCTCGGGGGCTCAGCTCGCCTCTGGGCCGGTCTCCACACCTCCACCGTCACCTCCTCTCCGCTTACCGTCGACGTCCACCTGCATCCGGGGCTTTTCCGCGACCCACACGTCTCCGTAGGGATCCTCATTGTTCCACAGCGGCAGGTAGTGCTTCCTCTCGCCACGGA